AGGCGCAAAGCTATACAGAGAAACCCTGTCTCGAAAAACCAAAAAAAAAGAAAAAAAACCATATGCATTTGAGGGAGTGCAATAACTCAGGTGATGATGGCATTCGCCACACAAGCTTGCGTTTGCTTCCAGGAGCCCACACGGTTGAAGGAAGGAGAGAATTCCTACAAGTTGTCCTCTGACTTCTGTGCATGGGCCATGGCACATGCTGGTACACACAGACACAAATCAGTACATATTCAAGTTTTAAATTTGTCCATTTGTGTGTGCAAGACCAGACTCGGGGCCTTGTATAGACTAAGTGTGCATCCTTCCACTGAGCCGTAGCCCCCAGCCTAAAGCAGGAAGTTTTTCAAGCCGCCATGAGGCTCCTTTCTTAACTCTCTGGGGTAAGGAAGGAAGCAAGAAGCCAGGTCTGCTGGCACCTGCCTGCAATCCCAGTACTCCAGAGGCAGAGGCAGAAAGATTGTCCGTGAGTTCTAGGCCAGCTTGTCCTACATAGTGAGTTCCAGACCAACCAGAACTACAGAGCAAGGGTGCTGTTGGCCTGGAAACAGGGAGGCAGTAAAGGGAGCAGTGTGATCTGTGAATCCCCCACTTCTGGCTTCTCATGTGCACAGCTTGGACCCATCCCAGCATGCCTTGCAAAGCCTTCCCAATTCAGAGTGGGAAAAGCTCTATACCCAACATACTTACGTCCCATTACCCCATCATTTCTTGAGTACCTTCTAGGCAACAACCTCCAGCCTCGGGGCCCTGTAGGGAGACAGACACACAGACGATTCCAGCAGTGAGGTGGGGGGAAGGATGAAGAACGGCCCACAGCCTGGGTGCCTCAGGGCTCCCTTCCTACAAGAAATGTGTCTGTAACTGACATTGCCAAGATGAGGCATTAACTGGGCCTAGAGTGGAGCTGGAGCAGTTCAGACAAGGTCTGAGAGCATCTGGGAGGCAGTCAGGACGTCGAGTAAGCCTTATAAACAGTATGAGCGGAGGGCATGCCTGTGATCCCAGCACTCAGGAGCAAAGGCAGGATCCCAAGCCTGAAGCCAGCCTGGGCTAGGAAACATAATCCTATCTCAGAAAAATTAATCAATTGATAAGAACCTAGAATACAAAGAGTGGTCTGAAACCAGTGTGCCTAAAAGTTTGGAGGACGGGAAATGGGATGAGCAGGGTAGACAGGCTGGCCGGGGGAGCTCTCATACAGAAGACTTTCATGTAGGTCGTTGGGTCTGAATGGTTCTTGCTGAATGGTTGAAGCTGGGTCTCAGGAGGCAGGAATCAGTGTGGCTCAACCAGACCAAAGTCTGTGGCAGTCAACAGATGAAGGGCCTTGGCTTGAACAGGAGGGAAACCTAGAGAGGGAAGTAGGGGATCACATTTGAGATTTCTGCCTTGCCTCGCCCTCCTCCTTTCCCTTCCTCTTCATCTTCCTCCTCGTCTTCTTTGAGACAGGATCTTGGTATACATCCCAGGCTGATTGGGATCCTTGATTCTCAGCCTCTACTGTGCTTGGATTACAGTTGTGTACCACATCCAGACAGACGAGCTTTCTGTTGGAAATGGCACCAGCAGATGTTCACTTGGGGACTGTCAGGTAAGAAGAAAGACCTGAGATGATCCTCAGGTTCCTGGTAGAACATCTAGGAAAATCATGGAAGCATTGGGTGAGATGAGGAGAGGGGAGCAGGTTTGGAGTAAGAGAATAGAGAGCTTCCTGTAGGGTTATTGCTCTCGAGATGTTTTTGGACATGAAGACATCAAGCAGGAAGTTGGGTATAGGAGTCTGGAGCTCTGAGGAGAGGTCTGGGCTAGAAATATACATTTGTGAGTCATCAGCATATAGATGGTATTTAAAGCCACGAGAATGGATGAGATCACCTAGGGAGAGGGAATATATATGAGAAGAGAAGGCCAAGGCCCAGGCAACAAGGAGTCTGGAAAACTGGGGAGGGGGGTGTTGGAGTGAGGGACAGGGCACCCTGCTGAGACACAAAATGAAAAAGAAGTAACCCCCACTGGTGGACATCACCAAAGGGACTCTAGTGAGGAGAGTGGAGGGGACGAAGGCCCTCAGAGGGCTGTGGGAGTGCAGCAGCAGGTGCCGGCTCCTGTCAATGTCTCTCTTCCCAACCACCATGCACCTGTGAGCTGTTTCTCATGATCCCAGAAGGCAGAGATTACCCATCCATCTGTCCTTCCTCCCCTCCCTCCTTCCTTCTCTCCCTCCCTCCTCGCCCCCCTCCCTCTGTTCCTTCTCCTCTCCCTTCCTCCCTCTGCACGCGTTCATGTGTGCCATGGGATGCATGTGGAAGGGCAATCTCATGGATCTTCCTCACCTTCTGCCTTGAGACAAGGTCTCTTTCTCTATTTTTCCCCAGCTGGCCAGAGAGCTTCCAAGAAGTCTTCTGTCCCCACCTCTCATCTCCACCTCTCATCTCCAAGTAGGAGAGCTGGGTTACACATGTGCCGCTTTGTATGGGTTCTGGGGACTTGGTTTGTTTTTTTGAGACAGGGTTTCTCTGTGTATCCTTGGCTGTCCTGGAACTCTCTGTAGACCAGGCTAGCCTCGAACTCACAGAGATCCTCCTGCCTCTGCCTCCCGAGTGCTGGGACTAAAGGCATGTGCCACCACCACCCAGCTAGTTTTGTTTTTTGAGATAGGCATTGTCTTACTATGTATCCCTGGCTGTCCTGGAACGCACAGAGATCCATCTGCCTCTGCCTCTGCCTCCTGAGTGCTGGGATTTTATCCCCAAGGTGTGTGCTACCATGCCCAGTGGTTCTGAGTATTTGAATTCATGTCCTCACACTTCTGCTACTGCATATACTCAGCCTGCCCCTAGCTCTATCCACATCCTGGAAATCATGCTCTATCTAAGCCATAAACAGAGTCCAATGCAGCACACAGCAGGAGCTCTATACATTTTCTAATAGTCAGATGAAAGAATGGGAGATCTTGAGGGGGAAAGGGTCTCATCTGCCTTACTCTGCTGGCTGGTAGAATGCTGGTGGGTTTTTTTGTTTTTTGTTTTGTTTTGTTTCTGCATTGGTATTTTGCCTGCATGTATGTCTGTGTGAGGGTGTCAGATCTTGGAGTTAGAGACAGTTGTGAGCTGCCATGTGGGTCCTGGGAGTTGAACCCAGATCCTCTGTAAGAGCAGTCAGTGCTCTTAACCACTGAGCCATCTCTCCAGCCCCAGGGGTGTTTTGTTGTTGGTTATTTTTCTGTGTATATGTGGGTGGGGTGTACATATTTGTGGGGCCTCATGCATAGAGGCCACAGATCCATTTCCTCAGGACTTCCATTTGGCTTCTTGTCTTTCTTAAGCAGAGTTGGGGGTTGGTAAAGCTGTTTTAATAGAATGCAGAAGGACACACCTGAGTATTTGAGTTTCTCAAAGAAGAATCTCAAAGGTAAAAACATGCCCAGGTGTGGGTGCTAGCCACACCCAGAGGGTATTTTCTGCCTGGTTTTGTTGAAGCAGAGCCTTTCATATGTGTTTTGTTTATTTCAGACGGGATCTTGCTCCGTATCCCTCCTGCTCTAGCCTCCAGAGCCCTGGGATTTCGAAGTGTACATCCCCTGCCTAGTTCTCTAGGTGTTTTTGTTCAGAAAATAAAAGCTGAGCCAGATGTAGTGGTGCACACCTTTAATCTCAGCACTCAGGAGGCATTGAGAGGCGGATCTCTGTGAGTTCGAGGCCAGTCTGGTCTACAGAGAGAGTTCCAGGACAGCCAGGGCTACATGGTGAGACCCTGCCTCAAAATAAATAAATAAAATAAAAAATAAAAAAAAGGAAAGAAAAGAAACGCCGATTGTGGCAAGGTTGTTATGTGGGTAACAGGTGGGTTGATGCGGGAAAGACAGAATCCTTTAAGGAGGAGCCACCTAGGGGGCAAGTGGAGTAACAGAGTAGCTAGCAGTCTGTGTAACAAGCGCAGGCACCGGCGCAATCAAGGAGACCCTGAAGTGTCCTTGGCCCGGGTGGGCTGGAATACATTTGTGATAGACAGGCCTAACTGCCAATCAGAGGCGAGCTACCTCTTACAACTCGAGATAGGGCCTGTGTAGTGCAAGTCGCAATTAGGAAGTGACACCAGGAGGACTGTGGGAACTCGAGGGGAGAGACAGGGGTGTGGGGGTGTGGCGTGGTGTTGGGTGCGCACACATGCCACCAGTGCCACCAAAGGCGAAACTGAGTTACGGTGAGTAAACTAGGTTCTTTGAATGGCCCAAAGACTAGCCTTGGAATAAGCTGGGGGAGTTCCTACGACTCCCGACCGCCAGTCCCGAGAGAGGAGCCTGCCTGCCGCACCCGGTGTGACCTGTGGGAGAGATGATGGCGCGGTCGGACGAACACTGCTGCCACCTGGTGGGAAGAGACTGCTATTTCTCCTGTTCTTCCTCTCCGTGCTCCGTGTCTCTGCTAAAGACCAAGTCTGGAGTTGGATGGAGGCAGACCCCTGAATCTGGGGACAGAGTGCAAAGGGAAGCCCCAGATGGAAAGATGCACACCCCTGGGAAGTGGAGAGCCTCAGCGCACCTCTCCCCCTTGCACATTGTTGCTCCTCCCTCTTAGAGCTTCTGCAAACTCCATGAGCCAATCTGTGCAAATTTCTTGGCATTTTAATAAGCATTCAATAAACAGCAGTTGTGGTTGAGCCAAAGGACAACTGGAGATCTGTAGCCCACTTCACCTCCTAAATATAGCTGCTGCACAAATGCACTGTCGCATAGTCCCAGCTACGTTCTGGGACACAAATGGTCAATCGACTGAACCCAAGGCCTTGTGTATGTTGAGCAAAAGCTCTACCCCTGAGCTACACCCCTAGACCCCACCACTATTGCTGTTATTTTCAGTGTCATTCCTGAGGATGGGGCTCAGTGGCCTCTTCTGCAGTCAGGAACTGGGAACCCCCCACAGGCAGGCTCCCGGAATGGCTCTGGCCTGTGACATCATAGAATCCTACACATTCATTGTAGCGAAGGGGTTATGAAGCTGGGGCAGTGGGTGCCTGTATGGGTGTGGATGTGGATGGCTGGGTTGGGGACCATAGAAACAGGTGGGAAGCTGGGCTCAAGAATGGTAGGAATAAAAGACACTTGAGAATAAGGAGGAAGCTTGGCTGTGACCAGGAGGCCAGCCCAGCCCCAGACCTTTCTCCCCTCCCCTCCTCTCCTCTTCCATCCCCCTCCCCTCCCTCTTTCTTATCTCCTTTCCTTTTCCCCTTCCCTCCCTCCCCTCCATTTCATTTTACTGTATTGTTTTCAGGCAAAGCTCCACTCACTCCGTCACCCAGGCTGACGGAAGCTCAATATGCAGCCCAAACGGACTTCAAACTTGCACCCTTCGCTTTCCAAGGGATAGAATTAGAGCCAAGGCACTTCGGCTGGCCTTTCTCTCTCATTCTGCCTCCGTGTCCTAGCTTCCCTGTCTCAGCCAGCTCAGCCAGCCCAGGGGACAAAACAAGCCGGCCCTGAGTTTGCTCGGCCTCTTGGGGAGGGCGCAATGGGTCAGCAGGGCTCTGGGTCACACACTTTGCTTTGGCTCCTAGCACCCAGAAGAGACGGCATCCAGGCCTCGAAACCAGGAGCCAACTCCCGGCTCTTCGTAGACAGGCCTGACTTCTTTGATTACCCAGACTCAGACCAAGCTAGCCTTTCTGCTGTGGCCCAGTTTATTGGAGAGAAACCTGTGACCTTTGTTAAGACAGGTATGAACCAGCTTGATGGAGGGACCTCCCTCGTGGCAGGGCCTGGAAGAAATGTGCTCTTGTCTGGCAGGCTCTGGCCCTGGGCTCTTCCAGCACATCCTGGTGGGCGCATTGGTGGTGGCTTTCTTCCTCTTCCTTTTCCAGTTCTGCATGCACGTGTGAGTCCCATCCCCATGTGCTACCCCGTCCCTTCCAGAGGACCCAAGTCTCCTATAGGCCTTCCTCATTTGATTTCCACACTCCTCAGGAGCTTCCAGAAAGGAGCCTAAGGAGCCGGACAGGAGCCCTGGACCCTGCTGTGTGCCACACATCTACCACGTCTTCTGTTGAGAAAAAAAAGGCGGTGCCTCCGCCCTTCCTGACTGCATAGTGGCCCTCAATGTGGCCATCCACCCCCATCACCTCCTCCTTCCTTGACTGCCCAGTGACCCTCTTATGTGTGGCCATTCACACCTCCCCTTCCTCCTAGGCTGCCCAGTGATCCTCTGTGTGGCCATCCACCCCACACCCCCATCTCCCCCTTCCTCCCTCACTGCTCAGTGGCTCTCTATGTAATCATCCATCCCCTTACCTCCTCCCTTCCCAGCCCCCAAAAAAACTGGACCCAAGGGTCTTGCTGGCGTTCACGAAGATCGTCTTTATTAGCGGTCTGTAAAAGCACCTCCCAGGGTCTGTGACCCCAGACTGGAGGAAGCCGTGAGAGGTCTGTAGCACCAGGGACAAGCCAGGGCCCGAGGGCAAAATGTGCAGCCTAACAGAAGGGGTTGGCGCCCATGCCTGCCCCCAGGGTTGCTCAGCACTGGGAGGGTTGTAGGGGAGCAATCACCTCCCTCCCCACACCCCAACAAATTAGAGATAGGCAAATAAATAAATAAGGTTCCTCAGATTGGTCTCCACAGGAAGGAGCTGTGGGGGTCACCTGCCTTCTCGACCCACATGGGATGAGTTAGGGTGTCCTCCTTCTCCCAGGTGATGGGGAGCAGAGAGGGGCTTGCAGCAGCAGAGCTGGGATGTCCTTGGCAGCGGGGCCACCCCCGTGTCCCTCGACTCCTTGGTCCCACTGAGCCCAGCTCTCCAGACCTCAGCACACTGACAGACACACTCTCTTCCCTTCATTTTGTTAGCACAGAGGCCGGGAGAGGCTCTTCATCCAGGTCCCCTCTCTCCCTGCCCTTCCGGTCATCCGACCTCAGCTCCTGAGGGTGTTTAGCTGCTCCCTGTTCTGAGTCCTTCTGTCTTGGGGCTGTCAAGGCAAGGGACTCCTGGCTCTCACCCCCCACCCACTGGCCCCAAAGCTCTGTCTCCACGGGGGGCTGGGGAGGGGGGGTTCCCAGGCCCCAGCCTCAGTCCTGAGTCTGACAAGGAGAGGGCGGCGGGGAACCTCGGGGTCGGAAGAGGCGGCAGGCCCCGCGGCAAATGAGGAAGAACCAGTAGAGCTGGGGTGCCAGGAGCAGCGCGGCGCCCAGGTTGACGTGGGCCGGGATGGCCAGGGGCACTGAGAGCAGGGGCAGGCCGGCGTGGCGCCCATAGGCCCAGTACAGGTAGGGGAAGAGCAGCACCCGGCAGCACAGGAAACTGAGCAGCATCAGGGCGCCGTTCACCTTGTGCAGCAACGTGTGCTGCTGCTTGTACTGTGGACAGAGCAGCGTGGCAGGCCAGGGGCAGGCCCGGGTACTCGCAGGTTCCCACAACTGCCTCCCCTCCACCCGGCCTGTGGCTCCTCCCACACCTACCACTGCACCTGGCCAGTGCTCTTTCTCTTATTTTTGCTTTTTTTTTGGTTTGGTTTTTGTTTTGTTGTTTTGTTTTTGAGACAGGGCTTCTCTGTGTCAACAGTCCTGGCTGTCCTGAAACTCACTCTGTAGACCAGGCTGGCCTTGAACTCACAGAGACCCGCCTGCTTCTGCCTCCCGAGTGCTGGGATTAGAGGCGTTCACCACCACCACCCAGCCTTATTCTTGCTTTTTGAGACAGATTCTCACTATGTAGCCCAGGCTAGTCTCAAAATCCTGATCCTCCTGCCTCAGCCTTTCCAGGGCTAGTGTTTTAGGCACACACCACCATGCTGAAAGGTTGCATGGTCTTTAAAGAATTCCCAAAAGGCCCCAGACATGTCCGCCCCACTTCCACACGCCCGTCGACCCTCGGATCTACTCTCACCTGGATGAGGATCTTGCCCAGGCAGACGAAGGGAGTGCTGACCTCGGCCATCAACATGCAGCCTAGAAAGAAATCTCCCTTGCCCTGTCGCCACACCTAAGGGAAAAGGCAAGAGCCTAAGGAGCTGTGTCTGCATGCCTTGCTGGTATCACCTTCAGAGATGCTTTCTCTCCCCACCCCCGTGTGTGTGTGTGCGTGTGTGTGTGTGCATATAAAGGCCAGAGGTCAATTTCCTCAATTGCTCTCGATCTTATTGGTTTGAGGCGGGATCTCTCACTGACCTGGAGCTCACTCATTTGGCTGCATTGGCCAGAGAGCCCCAGGAATTCTACTTTCACTTCCCCAGAGCTGGGGATTAAGCACACACCACCCAGCCCAGTTTTTCAAGAAGACCCAGGCACTTGTGTTACAGAGTAATCACTGTATCGACTGAGCCACCTCCCCGGCCCTATTCCCAGGCACTGTATCAACTGAGCCATCTCCCAGGCCCTATTCCCAGTCACTGTATCGACTGAGCCATTTCCCCGGCCCTATTCCCAGGCACTGTATCAACTGAGCCGTCTCCTCAGCCCTATTCCCAATCACTGTATCAACTGAGCCATCTCCCCGGCCCTATTCCCAATCACTGTATCAACTGAGCCATCTCCCCGGCCCTATTCCCAGTCACTGTATCAACTGAGCCATCTCCCCGGCCCTATTCCCAATCACTGTATCAACTGAGTCATCTCCCCGGCCCTATTCCCAGTCACTGTATCAACTGAGCCATCTCCCTGGCCCTATTCCCAGTCACTGTATCAACTGAGTCATCTCCTCAGCCCTATTCCCAGTCACTGTATCAACTGAGTCATCTTCCCGGCCCTATTCCCAGTCACTGTATCGACTGAGCCATCTCCCCGGCCCTATTCCCAGTCACTGTATCAACTGAGTCATCTTCCCGGCCCTATTCCCAGTCACTGTATCAACTGAGCCATCTCCTCAGCCCTATTCCCAGTCACTGTATCAACTGAGCCATCTCCCCGGCCCTATTCCCAGGCACTGTATCGACTGAGCCATCTCCCCGGCCCTATTCCCAGTCACTGTATCAACTGAGCCATCTCCTCAGCCCTATTCCCAGGCACTGTATCAACTGAGCCATCTCCCCAGCCCTATTCCCAGTCACTGTATCAACTGAGCCATCTCCCCGGCCCTATTCCCAGTCACTGTATCAACTGAGCCATCTCCTCAGCCCTATTCCCAGTCCCCCTCCCCTTTTTGAGACAGGGTTTCTCTGTGTAGCCAGAGACTGTACTGGAACTCACTCTGTAGATCAGGCTGGCCTCGAACTCAGAGATCTACCTGCCTCTGCTTCCCGAGTGCTGGGATTTAAGCTGTGATTTAGGGTGTGCGCCACCACTGCCCGGCTTTTCCTCCCCCCTCCCCTTTTTTAAAGACAAGAGTCTCATGTACCCAGACTGGCTTCAAACCTACTGTGTAGCAGAGGATGATTTTAACCCTCATATCTTCTGGCTTCCATCTCAAGTGCTAGGATGACAAATGTGCTACCATTCTGGCCTTACAAAGTGCTGGGGATTAAACCCAGGGCTCCACACATGCTGGGGAAACATTCTCCCAGCTGAGCTACACCCTCTGTCCAGAGACACACTTAGTCCTGGGTTCCGAGTACTCATGACTCTGCCAAAGAGGAGTACTGCCTCTTTTACAGTCCCTCAGGTTAAGAAGGCAGGCCTCACACCATAGAGGAAGGACAGCCTAGAGACACATGCCCCGTGCTCGAAAGCACCCCAGACTGACTTGTACCTCTTGGGTAGAATGCTGCTCTGGAAACCCACCCCAAGACCCGCTGCCCGGGACCTCCGCACTGCAGTGCTGGCGTGCTGGGGAGAAGCCGCTTTTCATGCCCACCCCTCGCCCTCCTGACTCCAGGGGGGAGGACTCACCACCGAGAGCGGGAAGCACACCAGCACCATGGCCGCATGGTGGAGTACCATGAGGAACTCCTTGTGCAGGTAGCCACGCACCACGGCCCAGGTGCCGCCCAGGGCTCTGGGCGTCCCGTCTTCCCCTCCATGCCCTTTAACCTGGTGCTTGTGCCAGTGGCAGAGGAACATGGCGTAGATGTCATAGATGAAGTAGGGAACTGCAAACTGTGTGTAGGCCGAGGAGAGCCAGTGCCTGTAGGGAAGGGAGAGAGGAGGAGGAGGAGGATGTGGACAGGTCCTAGGCGAGCAGCCCCCAGGCCAGGATGCTCCAGGGGAACGAGTTAGGTCCCAAGGGGGCTCTCATAACAACCCCGAGTCTTGAGTTTTGGATGCCAGAATTGAAGGGTGCCGTGTGAGGAACCACCCAAGGCCAGACAGTCTCACAGCTTCTGAGGTTTGGGGCTGGATTCAAGCCAGGCAAACCTCACCACCTACTGTGTCTCTGTCTCTGTCCCCCTAAGTGTCTCTACCTCTCACCCCTCCATCCACCCATCTCTCCAACCAGCCCTCCATCCACCCTTGTAGGGAGAGGAGACCAGAACGCTGCAGATCATGAACAGCGATGGAAGTGAGCTGCGGAGGGGTACAAAGACACCCCCCCCATTAGGCACCAGTGAGGAACTTCCAAGCACTGTAGAGGTCCTGCGGCCCAGCACCAGCTGATGTGACAGCTTATCACATGCCACGCACTACACGGCTACTTAACTCTTCACACAGCAGAACTTGTGCCCTTCTCCTGAATCCCTGTGTCATGGAGAGGCTAAGGAGTGCGGCCAAGGAATAACCACACAAGTCCTTGCCATCAGCCCCACTGTCTCAAGAAGGTTCGAGAGGGGCTGGAGCCAGTCCCCAGTGAAGTGGAGGGGCTGTCACTGCAGCTGGCCTTCGCTCTGAGGTGGTGCATCTATTGTTAGTTCAGGTATGGCCAGCAGGAAAGAGAAAATGCTGAGCAAAGATGCCAAGAGCAGAGAAAGTTCTGCAGACTTTGGAGTAAACAAATACGGGAAGCACCAGAACACGCCACGCTGCGCTTTTTTCCCTGAGTCAGCAGAGAGGCTTTCTCAAGTCCAGGAATCCTCCTCAGGCAGGCCTGAGGTGGGGGTGGGAGACAGAAAAGCCCAGAAGGAGCA